CAGCTTCGTCTGGAAGGACGTCCGGACATTGGCTGTCTGGTCTAATTAGTGTATTACGCTTTTATTATTATAAATAAAAGACAAATACCCAATAAAAAAATAGGTAATCTGAAACAAGCAGGGTTTTCAAAGAAGAGAAAGCATGAATAGAGCTGATAAGCCTGAAAAGATGCTCAGCCTTTTAAGCAGTCAGGGACATACAAGCTAAATACACAATAAAATATCCAGTGGGCGGGAGTCATTAGAAAGCCTGACCATAACAGTCCACAAACCAGTGTGAAACGGACCTTGTAGCCACACCATGTACAGGTGAGGAGGGGCATTGAACTCACCAGAAATCAGAAAGTCAACGTTTCCGTGCAAAACAGGAAATGCAATTAATATTTTGAAATATACCTACAAATGCAAACAAAAAATAGCAATCACCCCGATCAGGACCATTTGTCAGATGTTACCACCCAGTGCTGGTTCTGTCCCCCCTCTGCTGGTGGCCCTGAGGTTAGTTTAGCCCTTTGGCCAGTGCTGTGTCAATCCATATTGAGTGGGAGGAAAAGAGCTGGGTGTTTTTATATATCTTGATATAGTCTTTGACCCAGTGATCTCACCCTGGGTTTTATTAGAATGATGTAATCTAAAAAAAATAAAAGATGTCAAAGTGCCAATTTTAGGTCATTAGAAATAACCTAACTTCCTAACAATAGGAAAAAGCTTAAAGTAAATTACAGTGTTTCAGCCTAATGGAATATTCTATGTAGATATTAAAAATTATACTTTCCATGTCTGAGTAGTAACATGGAAAATGAGTGTCTATTTAAGTTTAAGGGGGGCGGGGGAGGTATCAGAACTCGCCTGCGTTGTCAGTGCAGCTATGCAAATATAGATTGGTTGTATGACAAGGACTGGAACAGAACCTGAAGGGGGGCGGGCTGGAGAAAAGAAAGCATTTGATGAAATGTGTAAAGTTCTGAGATTATGGCTGGGTTTTGCTTTTTAAAAATACATTCCTATTCTAGCCGGTTTGGCTCAGTGGATAGAGCATTGGTCCCAGGTTCGATTCCGGGTCAAGGGCACATACCTTGGTTGCAGGCTCCTCCCCAGCCCAGTCTCTGATTGGGGCTCGGGAAGGAGGCAACCAGTCTATGTGTTTCTTTCACATTGATGTTTCTCTCTGTCTTTCACTCTCTCTAAAAATCAGTGGGAAAATATCCTCAGGTGAGGATTTTAAATAATAATAATAAATAAAAATAAATAAAATAATAAAAAATGCATTCCTGCCCAGCCAGTGTGGGTCAGTGGTTGAGCATTGACCTTTGAACCAGGAGGTAATGGTTCAATTCCTGGTCAGGGCACATGCCTGGGTGGCAGTCTCAATCTCCAGGATGGGGTGTGAAGGAGGCAGCTGATCTATGATTCTTTCTCATCATTGATGTTTCTCTCTCTTTCCCTCTTTCTTCCTCTCAGAAATCAAAAAGATATTTTTATTTATTTTTAATTTTTATTTTTTAAAATATATTTTATTGATTTTTTTTTTACAGAGAGGAAGAGAGAGGGATAGAGAGTTAGAAACATCGATGAGAGAGAATCATTGATCAGCTGCCTCTTGCACACCCCTTACTGGGGATGTGCCCACAACCAAGGTACATGTCCTTGACCGGAATTGAACCCGGGACCTTTCAGTCCACAGGCTGACGCTCTATCCACTGAGCCAAACCAGTTTCGGCAAAAAATATATTTTTAAAAAAGAAATAGATTTTAAGTAAGTAAATAAATAAAACGCATTCCTATTCTAATGTTATTTGTGAAGTAGAGACAAAGCGTTTCTCCCAGCCCACGGGAACAAAGGCAGGGCGCTCACTGCAGCGGCGTTCATTCGGGCGGCGAAGTGTGTGCACGGATCTGAAGCCCTCCGCTAGGTGAGAGAGCTAGGTGGCCCTTCAGAAGTACTTCCAAGGAAGCTCGGCGGGAGAGCCGGGCTGTTGTTTTCCCCAGAAAGTGCCTTTTGTCCCAGATGGTTTTCTTTGATTTCCTTTTTATTGATTAGAGCTTAGCTGCGTTCAGAGGCTGCCGGGAGAGAGAATGTTTGTCTGGGAAGAGAGGGAGCGTCTGCACGAGCCGGCTGCTGGGAGCTCGCAGGGGGCCTTCTGGATCCATTTTAGTAATTTACAGTCTATTTCGGGTCTCCCAAGCTACCCCACGTGGTCCAACCAAATTAAGCTCATCAGGATCTTAAAAAGGGAAACAACGCCTGTTTATTTGTGACATTGCCTGGAGAAGGGGGAAAGTAGAAGTGGCAGCCAGTTCCTTCTCCCACCTCAGCTCCCATTCTCTTGAGGACGGATCGGGCAGGGGACAGACACCATGCCCACGGCTCCGTTGGAACCGGCATGCAGCAGCAGAGCCGCCAGTCGGCTGCACAGCCCGTCCTCACCGTCATCTGTTGAAGCCGTTCAGGTGCTATGAGTGCAGTGGTGGTGAGATGGGCACTGTCCTTGCCTTATAGAGAATGAAAAGATATCCGGTAAGGACAAAGTGCCATGGAAGAAGTAAGCAAGGTGATGTGGTGGAGAGCGATGGGGGCAGGGGACTGTTTTCCACTGGATGCTGGTGGAAACCTAGATGAGGTGGTAGCATTTCTATTAGAGATGCCCAATTTGAGGGCACAGCAGGTGCAAACACAGAGCAATGTCTTGTGTTTTCAAGGAATAGGTGAGGTCTGAGATGCAGGCAGGACCAAATTATTTAGATCCTGCTAGACCCGTGGCTCTGAGATGGGCGATTTTCCTCTCAAGGGACGTTTGGTGATGTGCAGAGACATTTTGGATTGTTACAACGGGGGGCAGCAGGCTTTTGGCATCTAGTGGGTAGAGACCAGGGATGGCCAGGACAGCCCCCCCCCCCCACATGTTTTGGACCAAGATTGACACATCCTATTGCAGACCAGGCTAAGGATTTTGGATTTCATTCTAAGAGTGATGGTGGGTGGTAAGCAGGGAAGTGAGAAAATGGGCTGGTTCTGTTTTCCTTTAAAAGCCTAGAGTATTGGACCAAATTACTGCAGGTCTGACAGCCTTATCTGACTGCATTGGGCTAGGAGAAGGGAGACTTCAGAGTTGTAGATCCTCCCAGAATAAGCAATCCGTTCTCCTCGGGGCAGCTGAGCCTACTTCCGGGGGAGAGTTTTGTGTCTGGTGCTTGGGTTTCTGCTCATAGCAGAGGAAGCCCTGAAGAGGAGGCGAAAGGATGCAAATTGAAGCTTGATCTTTGGCTTGCAGCTGGTGCTCTGGCCTCTTCGTTTGGTTGCTGTTAACACTCGTTCAGGCTAGAACCATGCAAAGAGAAGAGTCTGATCAGCCCAAGGTTCATAGGTTCAGTTAACATTTTTCAGTCTCCGTACTGTTGACGTTTTGGGCGAGATCATTCTGTGTGGGGTTTCGGGGGGAAGGCAGAGTGTACTTCCACCACTAAATGACAGTAGCAACCCTCTCCCCAGTTGTGACAAACAAAAATATCTCCGGACATGGCCAAATGTCCCTGGAGGTGGAGGGGCAGGGGTCAAACTGCCCCAAGTTGTTGCAAGTCTCATATGCCAATACTTCATAGCACGAAATTCGCCATAAATTCCGTGATCCTTCAGGGCAGGGGCCAGGTTGGGGAGCTATTGGGGTAGGTGGTCCTGCTTTCTGTTCCACATCCTAAGTTTCTCACCAGCTGGCTGCTGTCAGTTTTTAAACGCAGTGTCTCCTGGGGAAGAGAGACTGAGAAGACACTGGCCTCAGGAACCCTCTGGAACAGTTTTGTCCTTGGGCTGTTTAGAGCTGCAGTGTTTGATGCCACATGGATGCTGTTGCTCAGAGATTTCACACATTCCGGGGCACAGGAAATGAGGACCCTCACTTCCTCCAGGGCTGGGTTAACTAAGATATGACCTTGATACTCCAAGCCCTGAAAATTATGGAGCTTCTCGTCTATGTCGATTAGGATAACTGTCAACTACAAGTCATTGCAATGGTCTACGTTTCCCACAATGATTACCTCAGTATTATTTCTGAAATACCAAATATTCCCTTCTTGTGAAGAAAATGGAATTTCTCTCTTTTTATGTGAAGTGGAGGTGGAGGGATAGACCCTGCTTTTGGGGGGCCCAGAACACACACCCGTCCTCCTAACAGGCAAGCCAACGTTGTCTTTCCCACTTAACAAACAAGCACATGATACCAAGAATGCGAATAAGGTCAATGATATTTGTAAGAGGGATCTTCATTACTCTTTTTTTTTTTTTAATATATTTTATTGATTTTTTACAGAGAGGAGGAGAGAGGGATAGAGAGCTACAATAGAAACGTCGATGAGAGAGAAACATCGACCAGCTGCCTCTTGCACACCCCCTACCAGGGATGTGCCAGCAACCAAGGTAGGGGGTGTGCAAGAGGCAGCTGACCGGAATCGAACCTGGGACCTTTCAGTCCGCAGACCGACGCTCTACCACTGAGCCAAACCTGTTTCGGCCATTACTCTTTTTAGAAATCCAAATTATTAGCCACAGTGGTCATACTATCTGGAATTAGTCTTCCTGTGTCCAAATGCCAGCATTGTCACTTTCCAGCTAAGTATTTAATTCCTCTGAGCCTCAGTTTCCTCATCTGTTTTATGGGAGTAACACTCATATCTCACAGACTTATTATGTAGATTTAACCAGTTATTAAATGTAAAGGGTTTAACACAGTCCTTAATTGGCCTGTAGCATTTATTTATTATCATTATTGATGCTTTTGGTATCATTATGTTGTTGCTGCTGTGAAGTGTTCTAAGAGCAGAAAAAAGCTTTCTGAGATAGAAAAAAATAATTGGGATCAGAGGCTAAAAGAAGTCAAAGAAAATGGTACCACTGTCAACTGATCCACCCACAGGAGCCCAGCTGTGAGCCTCTGGATCGATTTCCTGTGCAATAGGGGCAGAATAAAAGAGAAAAGCAACTTCCCGCCTCTTCCCTCTCTCTGCAGAATGAAGTGGAGCTGGGGGAGCTGCTTCTGTCGCTGAATTATCTCCCAAGTGCGGGGAGGCTAAATGTTGACGTCATTCGAGCCAAGCAACTTCTTCAGACAGATGTGAGCCAAGGTTCAGGTACAGTGCGACTCCCTCCTTCCCCCTTTTCTTCCACAGGGCACTGTGTTGGTTTGACACAAAGGACCCGATTTCTTTTTCTGACAGTCTGACAGCCCAACCACCTACCCATCCTTTCATCTATTTTTCCATCAATCCATCCATCTGCCCACCCACCCTTCCTTTCATTTGTTCATTTCTCTATCTATCTATCTATCTATCTATTTTTCATTCTTCCTTTTTTCCCTTCCTCTCTCCCTCTAGCCATCCAGTATTTATTGAGCTCCTCCCAGATGTCCGGCATTTTATAGGCAAAGAAACTGAAGACTCAAGATGAGAAATGATTTGCCTAAGATCTGGCTAGTGGAAAAAGAGCCAGACCCATCCTGGATACTATTAATAAGATAAGATTTTGTGAGGGTAGGCAGTATCCAGAACTAGGATGTTAGTTCAAAAGGAAAAATAAATAATCACATCTCTCTTAAAATGAGGCAGGTAAATGATGCCATCTCTTAATCTCTTAATCCCAGTTGAATTGGGAATTTGACTGAGAGCAGGTGTGATAACCACTGAAATTTAGATTCTCTTTCTACACATGCTGCCCTGAGGAAGTGATTTGCCTTTCCCCTTGCTATGCCTGCAATAAAGACACCATCCTCCAGGTGGCGTGAGTGTGCATTGGCCTTGCATCCTAATCCAGGAGAGTGGTGTACACACCCTCAGGTTTTTTCCCCCAGCTCATTTCAAATGTACCATAAATCTTTATAAATAAAAGCTCTGAATAGACTGTCATATTTAAAGTGTCTATTTTATAGCAAACCAATTCAAACATGACTTTTAATGAAATGGAACAGATTACATTCCATCTGTATGTCGCCTCTCCAGTGACATCAAGGATATTATCATGAAAGCAGCCATGGTCGCTGGGATCTCTTCAGCTCAGGGATGGAAATACTGTCTTCTCTAAATGCAATAGCTAAAATAAATTACTTTTGCTATAAGGTGACAGCTGAATTTAGAAGGCAGTTTGCATTCTCAAAAATCACATTACAAAAGCAGGTTTCAGAGGGGCCAATGGGAGGAATGGTTATTAAGGCTGGAGAGTCAGTATGATAAAATGATTAAAGGTTTCAGAGTCAAACTGCCTGGAACCAAATCCCATTTCTACTGCTTGCTAATAACATAGCCTTGGGGAAGTTATTTGACCTCTAAAAAGCCTCAATTTCTCCACCTGAAAAACTGACATAATAACAGTATTCTTCTCATTTGGGTTGTTTAAACAATATTCAGTTGTATAATGTACATGAATCTCTTTGTACACTGTAAAGTGATCTAAGAATGACAGTTATAATTCTGCCTTCTCTATTCTGTTTATGGGCTCCCTGACATGATAATGGGTTTCTAGGACAGAAGCCAGGACAGGCTCTGGGTCTGGTTCTTTCTCTACTAGCCAGATCTTAAGCAAATCATTTCTCATCTTGAGTCCTCAGTTTCTTCATCTGTAAAATACCCAAACACATAGGAGGAGCTCAATAAATATTGGATGGCTGGAGGAAGAGAGGAAGGGGAAAGGAGGAATGAAAGATAGATAGATAGATAGATAGATAGATAGATAGATAGATAGAAAAATGGATGAATGAAAGGAGGGGTAGGTAGATGGTTGGGTTCTCAGATAGATGGAAGATGGATGGAAAGAAGGAAGGAGTGAGTAACACAATGAATGGATGGGAAGTTGAGTGGATGAATGAATTGGTGGATTGGATTTCATGATCTCTGACATTCAGTGATGTTGTATCCAATTCTCAGACCCCTTTGTGAAAATCCAGCTGGTACATGGACTCAAACTTGTGAAAACAAAGAAGACATCCTTCTTACGAGGCACAATTGATCCTTTCTATAACGAGTCCTTCAGCTTCAAAGTTCCCCAAGAAGAACTGGAAAACGCCAGCCTAGTGTTTACAGGTAGGTAGACTTTGATGACTCCCCACATGAAGTGTGTTCAAGTCATTATCCTGGAGGTAGAAGGCACCTAGAAAGGGTAATATTTAAAAGCTTCATGTCTGGTGTTCAGCTACCTAGTTTTGAATCTACTTACCCTTTGTGAACTTAAGCAAGACTCTTAGGGCCACATAGCATAATTGTTACAAATATAAATTTTGGAACCATATTTCCTTATACTTCCTCATAGTAACTAACCCCTCTGAGCCTCCGTTTCTTCAGCTATCAGATGTGGGTAAAAATAGTATTTGCTTCTAGGTTTGTTGTAAAGATTAAGTGTCTTATAACTTTGGAATAGAATAAATGCTCACTATGTAAGTGTTAATGATAGCTTACTGCCTAATAGGGAAACATGAGAAAATAGGGGCCTCAGAAACCTCAGAGAGGAGGATTTTGAAAGGCTTCCCAGAGGACTTCGCGTTTAAGTAGAGGCTTCTCTGGTTGAATTGAATCTATTGTTTCTAGGGCATACTCATTATCCACTGCTGCATAACAAATCACTCTAAATGTAGTGGCTTAAAACAATGAACATATATTGTCTCATAGTTTCTTTGAGTCAGGAATCCGGGAGTACCTTTGCTGGATGCTTCTAACCAAAGTTCTCAGATAGGCTGCAGTCAAGGTATTGTCTGGGGCTGCACTGTCATCTGAAGGCTCCACTGAGGGAGGATCTGTTTTCAACTGACATAGTTGTTGGTAGAATGCAGTTTCTTGCAGCTGTTAGACTGGGGGCCTGATCCTTCCTGGGTGTTGGCCAGTTGACCTGCCTCAGTCCCTCACCACATGGGCTTCACCATAGGGCAGCTCACAGCATGGCAGATGCCTTCCATCAAAGTGAGGGAGCAAGAGAGGGTGAGCAGGATGGAAGCCAGAGCCTTTTTGTAACCTAATCTCAGAAATGACACCCTCGCCCTTTTATTCATTAGAAGCAACTCACCTGGTCCAGCTCACACTCAAGGGGATGGTATTGCACGAGGGCATGACTACTGGAAAGTAGGGCCTTTTGGGAGTTCTTTTAGAAGCTGCCCACCACAACCTGGTTAGAGTTCATAGTAGTAATTATTATTATTACATCCTGTGTTCTATTCATGCAGGGGCTTCACCGACATTACTGTTAAATTCATTAGATTCTACCTTGTCAAGTCAGCATCATCTCATCAATTTATAGGGCTGAGGACTGAGGCTTAAAACCTAAACAACCCACCCAGCATCTCAACGTTGGTAGAACTAGGATTCAAGTTCTGGTCTGGTTAACTGTTGTTAGATCGAAGGACCTGCATTTCCTCAAGCACAAGGTAGTGCTGGCATCGGGGATCTGACATTGTACTTTGAGGAATCCTGCTCTGGGGCAATTGGCAGCTCTCATCTGTTTAGATCTAGTCTAGAGTCCTTGGCTGCAGGTCTCCCAAGGAAGCAGGCCATGGCTGAAACTCCTGTGCATACGTGTTTCTCATCACCAAGATTGCAAGTGTTCTGTGCTCTAAGACCCCTCCAGGCAGGTTGATTCTGAGCTTTCTCAGGGCCCATCACTAGGAGAGTCTGCAGCCAATTAGGGGATGCCTGCCCTAAGCAGATAGTATACCGATTCTATCTGATCCAGCCCCTGTGGCTGCTGTCCAAGGACCCTGCTGTCCCTGAGATTTTAGGTCAAACACAAGACCTTCCATTGAATCTGTAAATGTTGGAGGGCAGGCAGTGGGAATTACAGTTAAATCTTACCGCCTACCTGGCTTGGCTCAGTGGATAGAACATCGGCCTGTGGACTGAAGGGTCCCAGGTTTGATTCCAGTCAAGGGCACATGCCCGGGTTGTAGGCTCAATCACCAGTGGGGTTGTGCAGGAGGCAGCCAATCAATGACTCTCTCTCATCATTGATGTTTCTATCTCTCTCTCCCTTTTCCTCTCTGAAATCAATAAAAATATATTCAGGGGGGCGGGGGGAGAGAAACACCTTACTTATTCAATAAATACTTGTTAATTTCAATAAGTATTTAGTATTTATACTTTATTCAGTAAGTATTTATTGGAAAAGTTGTATGTAAGTGAACCTATGCTGTTCAAACCTGTGTCATTAAGGGGGCAACTGTATTTTTCGATACACAGCTAGGAACCCACAGGTGTGAAGGGCTGACTAATTACCCATAGATTTTCGACAGCATGGAGGTAGGCACCTCTAACCCTGGCTTTGTTCAAGGGTCCACTCTGCATTGAACCAAAACCAGATCCAAGCATGGAACATCGATTCCTAAGTCCCCACCGAGAATCAAGGACTTAATGTTGCACTGGTCGCGGGAGTGGGGGCCAAGGTCATTAAGAGCCCATATGGAAGCCCTGACACTGTTGTATTTCATGAAGAAGGTAGCACGTGGGTATTATAATGAATGACATAACCCCAAGATGTGTAAGGACAAGGGATCAGAAGAGCAGAGGGGTGAAATGCATGGGCTATCTGTGGGGGATGAGGTAGGGGGAGGCACGCCTGGCCCCTGGGTTTGTGGCCTTGGACAAGATCTGTGTTTTTCTCATCTGTAAAATGGGGATCGCTGTACAACAGCATTTCAAAGGATTGTAGCATGAATTAAATGAGGGGGATGCTGACCACTGTGCCTAGAACCTAGCTTTTTTTAAAAATATATATATATTTTTATTGATTTTGAGAGGAAGGGAGAGGGAGAGAGATAGAAACATCAATGATGAAAGAAAATCATTGATTGGCTGCCTCTTGCACATCCCCAACTAGGGATCGAGCCCGCAACCCTGGCATGTGCCCTTGACCGAAATCAAACCCAGGACCCTTTCGTCCTCAGACCAACGCTCTCCAATGAGTCCAACTGGCCGGGGCTGTTAACTCTCACTAAAAGGAAATTTTACTGTCTTCATCATCCCCTTCTACGCCCTTTTCCCTGAAGTCAGCACCTTTAATGTCCACGCCTGAATCATTCCATACACTTCTCCCTGTTCACACAAACATCATCCACATATAGAGGATTCAGTTCTTTTAAAAAAGGTGATCATTATTCAAGAAGTGTGTATGAAGCACCTTTCCTGAGCTGGACACTGTCTCCAAGCCCTGGAATGGAGCAGTGAACAAAACAGTCCATCTCTGCTCTTGTGGGGCTTCCAGACCATTCTGTGGACGTCACTCTGAAACTTGCTTCTGTGTCATTACAGTGAGTGTGTTCAGTCCTTCCAGGTGAAGGTAAATGAGAAATATTTTCAATATCTGCGTCATATCCCACAAGTGGAATACTGTGGTAAAGCGGAGTTAACTCATTCCCAGGGGGTGGTGGGGAGGGGTGTGACAGCTTCAGAGAATGTGTTGTGAACTCTGGGTGACCCTCCTTAGAAAAATACAGAGGGGACAGAAAATGTTGCATGTAGTTCAGAGGTTTTTTGAAACCCATAAACCCCATAAGACAGAAGCCTCAAATTGTAACAGCACCCCCAACCCCTCACCCCCCATATCTCTCATTCGACCCACCCTACTTGGTGTGGCTGTCATCAGTCCCACCCATCAGACAGGGCCTATGCTCTCCATTCATGGGAGACCTGCTTCTCTCTCTTACACCCCGGCTCAGGGTTCCCTCTCCTCAGGTTAAAAGCCCGTTGAAGATGTTCTTTATAGACAAGGAAAGATTGCAGGCCTCCCTGTCCCCTTAGGTAAGGATTCTCAACCCTAGCTGCTCTTCAGAATCAGCTGGGAACTTTGAAATGCTATCAGGAGGCACCCCCTACCCCAGAGACTGATTCAGTTAGACTGTGCTGGGGGCCTGGGCTCGATATGTTTCTAAAGCACCCCAGATATTTCTAATGCTCAGCCAGGTTCAGAACCATGGCTCCGAGTGGAAACGCAGCTGGGTGACATTTTTCATAAAGGCTGGAATAATGAAAGAATGCAGACTTAGCTGATACATATCTACAATAGACAAAGCCACTGTTCTCCTGAATCCCAATTTGCAAGGTTCTACCTTGTTTTATTTATAACGAGAGGAAGAAGCTATTACCTCCAAGCCCATTAACTTGTTTCCAAACACTTCATAAGAAAAGTAAGGTTGATGTGCAACTTGAGCATTTGCCAAGAATCCTGATAAAAGAACCCTGTAATTAGCCGGAGGGCTGGGCTTGCGCAGCTCCTTTCCTGTGTGGGAGAGGGTTCTTCTGTAACCTTCAATCAGGTGATTTCTGCAGCTGAAGCTTAAAGAAAAGATGGAGGAAATTGCTTTTCAACTCCTGGGCTAGCAATATGCTATCTAGGAATGTGGTGTAGGGTTGGCCACTAAGGTTATTGGGCTGTAATTGGAAGTGGGGGCGGGGAGAGAAAAGAAACAGAAAAAGATATGTAGCTTGCTGATGGGTGCATGTTCGTAGCAGCATGTTTCGCAATAGCTAAAAGATGGGAGCAACCCAAGTGTCCCTCAATGGGTGGATAAATGGATAAGCAAAATGTGGTCTATAAATATGGTGGAATGTTGCTGGGACCAGTTTGGCTCAGTGGATAGAGCGTCGGCCTGCGGACTGAAAGGTCCTGGGTTCAATTCCAGTCAAGGGCATGTACCTTGGTTGCGGGCACATCCCCAGTGGGGGGGTGTGCAAGAGGCGGCTGGTCGATGTTTCTCTCTCATCGACGTTTCTAACTCTCTGTCCCTCTCAATTCCTCTCTGTGTAAAATCAATAAAATATACATTTAAAAAATAATAATAATAATAAATAAATAAATATGGTGGAATGTTACTCCGCCTTAGAAGGAACGAGATTCTGACACCTGCTCCAACATGGATGGGCCTTGAGGACATTAGGCTAAGTGAAATAAGCCAGAAATGAAAGCAGAAACACTGTATGATTCCATTGGTGTGAGGTACCTCATTAGTCAAATTGGTAGAGGCAGAAAGTAGAATAGAGGTTACAAGGACTGAGGGAGGAGTGAGAATGGGGAGTTACTGCTCAATGGGCACAGAGTTTTAGTT